TATGTTTTCTTGCTTTATTCATCTGTTTATTTTTTGGTTGTTTACTCATTGATTTTCCTGTTTTAAAACATGTATTTTCTTTGCTGTTGAAGGTTTCCATCATGTTTATACCTCTACTAATGTTACCTTTATTTAAGCATTCCAAAACAATCTGTGAATCAAAATTTATATGCTGTCAATTTGAATATTTTCCCTTCATAGAAAATAAATGGTTAATCTTGTACTACTTCCATTTTCTAAACCCATATCTAAAAGGCATTTGTTGGTTTTGTCTAGGATTGTAAACTATACCATTGTGATAACAATATAAATGATTTTACTGAAGATTGTTATTTATTTATTTATTTATTTATTTATTTATTTATTTTGAGACAGAGTCTCACTCTGTCACCCAAGCTGGAGTGCAGTGGCGCAATTTCGGCTCACTGTAACCTCTACCTACCGGGTTCAAGCAATTCTCCTGCCTGAGTAGCTGGGATTACAGGCACACACTACCTCGCCCAGCTAATTTTTTGTATTTTTGGTAGAGATGGGGTTTCACCATGTTGGCCAGGCTAGTCTCAAACTCCTGACCTCAAGTGATCTACCTGCCATAGCCTCCCAGTGCTGGCTGTGATTATAGGCAAGAGCCACTGCGCCCAGCCTGTTATTCTTCTTTTAAATTTTTATTTTTAAAAGAAAATAGAGACAGAGTCTCTCTATGTTGCCCCAGCTGGTCTCAAACTCCTGGTTTCAAGCAATCCCCCTGCTTCAACCTCCCAAAGTGTTGGGATTATAGGTGTGAGCCACTAGGCCCAGCCAAGATTGTCTTTAGCATTCTATTAAATATTTTGTCATCATACCGACAAGAAAAAAATTTGATTTTTATGATTTCCACACACAAAAAGTACACTTAAAATGAATGAATTGGCTGGACGCAGTGGCTCATGCCTGTAATCCCAGCACTTTGGGAGGCTGAGGCAGGCGGATCACAAGGTCAGGAGATTGAGACCATCCTGGCTAACACAGTGAAACGCCGTCTCTAATAAAAGTAAACAGAAAAAAGAAAAAAAATTAGCTGGGCATGGTGGCGGACGCCTGTAGTCCCAGCTACTCAGGAGAGTGAGGCAGGAGAATGGCATGAACCCGGGAGGCGGAGCTTGCAGTCACGGCACTCCAGCCTGGGCGACAGAGCGAGACTCAGTCTCCCCCCCGCCCCAAAAAAACTGTATTGGAAGTGAAGTATAACTCAAAAATGTTGATTTTTAAAACTGCAATCGGCTCCAAAGAACAAAAACATTTCTACTCTTTAAATTAAGATGGCATATGAAAAGTCTTCTTTTAAAACTAATTCAAAAGTAGTCCCATATTAGAAATTACTCACGCTGCCAAGATACGTTCCCAGAAATACAATCACAATTCCTCCTGGAAATGCTGTTCCTCAGAGAGTCACGTGGCTGCTCCCTGCCTCCTTCAAGGTTCTGCTCACACCTGGAGGGGCTCCTCTCTGCTCTGTTTCCATACTGCAGCAGTGAAACAGCAAAAGAACTAACATGACTAACTCCATTTTTTATTTAAGGGGATACCCATTCCTGCACATGGGCTAGGATAATTTTAGAACACTAAGATACAATGCAAAAACTGCAATCAGGTAGTCTTAGAAACTAACCCTAGGATTAAAGAAGAAGTATATAAACAGCTCTGTTTTGTTAGATTTACAGAAACAAGGAGGTTTGGTTATTGTTACAGGAGAGAATGTTGCCCTAGGACAAAGAAGTTTTACAAACTTCCCCTGGACCCTTGTTGGTGCCCAGATGTCTGCGGTTCCCTGTCACTGAAACATAAAAGAAAAGGCAAAGCTCGCATAATTCTAAGATGGTTCTTTAGGACATTGGTCTGCATCTTCTTTGTTTCCTGGCTCCCCAAAATAAAGTCGCTTTCCTTCCTCCACCTCCTTGTCTCTTGACTTATTGATGTCATGTGGCAAGAACAACAAGTTTGGACTCAGTCACAATCCATCCCACACTTCCTCTTCTCCTTCCCTGCTTCCTTTGTCCCCATGGCATTTACCACTTTCTAGTACATTAATTCTGTCGCGGTGATTACTTATGATCTGTCCCCCACCACTGAAATGTAAGTAACATGAGGGCAGGGTTTTGGTCCATTTTGTTCACTGATGTTCCTGATACACAGTTGGTGCTCAATAAATATTTGTTGATTGAACTCAAGCTTTCTAATTAGATATATTTCTCTCCTTGTGTTGCTGGTAGAGAGAAGAAAGTCAGAACATTAACTACATGGTCTTTTAATATTTTATGCTCCATGTACTTGCAAAGTGTATTAGAGATGACCTGCCACTTATCCCCTCCACAATATATATTGATGACTTCTATATGTCCAACTCTGTACTGGGCACTGGGAAAAAGTAGATGCCCAATACAATGTACAACAGAAAGTTTTAAACCATAGTCAGGAAAGGAAAATATCTATTCCCCTAATCCAGGCTGCTATGTAACTCTGCTTTAACACTGTATTTAGTTTTGAAGATCTTTGGCCAAAGGAAAGTTTCAAGGTCTAACTCATAAAGGAAACACAATGGTTAAAGTAATTTCACATAATCTATACCATATGCTAAGTTAAAATATGTGTTTTTTTCCTAAGTACCACCTGTTTACAAAACTGGTTATGTCGGATGAACCAAGACTTTTTTTGAACTTAACAAATTGTGAATTAAATTTTAAGTGACCCTATATATGCATCATGTATATGATGTCTGAAGTACTTTTCTGACACAATTTTAACAGAAATTTTTGTACTAAGATAGTACACTTTGATTTTATAGAGTCATAGGGTTTTGTGTTTTTTTTTTTCCGTTAGAAAAGCCCCTTCTGATATTTCTACATCTCACAGTTTGCAGATGAAAATACTAACACTTTGGAAGTTCAAACGGCTTGCCCAAGCTAGTGCCAAAGCTCAGATCAGGCCTGGGTTCTAGGTTCCTGAGCCTTCCATAAATTGACAGTCTTAACTGCATCCTCACAAAACCCAGCCACCATTTGGATTGACATTAGGAGGGACACTGGTTCCTTGAGGGCAGAAACTGCAGCTTCTTTGTATCTCCCCAGTGTCCAGCAGAGGGTCTAGTGCACAATAGGAACCAGTGAGGGGAGACACAACAACCTTGGACCTAGGTGAGGACCCTTACTAAAAGAGCTCTTGGTGACTTGGGCCCTAAATGACCACAATGCCCCAACCTCTGCTTGTTCATCCACTCTGCTCAGTCCTCACTGGCCTCTGGGTTGATTTTTCAAACAAACCAACCAAATGCCTGAAAAGCTCTGTCCCACAATATCCACACAGTTCCCTTCCCCCAGCCCTACAAGTCACTTTTGAATGTCACTTTATCAATGAGGTATTCTCAAGACCACACTATGAAACGGCAACTCCACACTCCCTACCTCTGTCTCCACAACTTATCCCCATCTGGCATATTTGAACTTATCTATTCGTGCATTGCTCATCTTCCTCTACAAGAATGTAAGCACTACTAGGGTAGGGACTGTATTTGTTCCCTGCTTTATTTTTGCAACCTACACATAGCGTGTTGTAGGTGCCCTATAAACATGGGTGGAATGAATGAATGAATGGAAAAGGACTTTGGATTCCTTTCTTGATCTTTTAATTCTTTATTTAAAAAGCTAAGAAGCTGTTTTTAATACAATATTTTAAAAATGTTGTAAAACTGCAGGACACTTCAAAATGTGATGAATTTTATAGTAAAATCAGCGGCACACAACTTTTCGTACACATATGTGGTTGTAGATAATTTCATGCTACACTAATTAACACACCTTTCAATTAAAGACGTTGAAAAAAAAAAAAAACCTTTTTGTGTGCGTCCAGGGTACAAGCATAAAATGAGACATCAGTGGAAACCATGTATTAGGTATGGAAAATATTTTTCTGTCATTGAACACTCATGTTTTGATATAAAAAAGAAAAAACTAGAAATTGCTTTTTGTGTAACCACAAAACCTATTTACCTTTCCATATAATACTTATTATTTCCTGTTAAAATGCTCGATTCTATAGGTAATCCTAGATCTCTCTGAGCCAATATATGGATTAACTTAAATTACAAAGATATGATAAACAATTTTTAATGTCATTTAATCTATTTTTATTAAAATTTATAGCTACATTATTTAATGTAAGACTAATATTTCTAATTAACTTATACATAAAAAGTTATTTGCTGTAGGTGTCTGCACAGTGTGATTGCTAGTAGAATTAAACGCCTCAGGCTGCATCTATCAGACACTGGCCTTTCTGGACGCGTTCCATTTCATCGATAATTTGGGCAGCAAAAATCTGATAAATTTTATATTAGAGATAACGACAGAGGGTAACTGTAGCACAGCGGAGGGAACAAGTCTCCAGAGGCAGAAGGGTCAGCTATGCCGAGAACACGTTTGAACTTGAAAAACATTCGGGGACTGAGAAAACAGAGCTGCAAAATGTGAATTCTGTTAACTTGAAATGTTCAAACTGGAATGTGAGGAGTGGCAATGGGAGGTGGGTTTGAGTTGGGGGAGTGGGGGTGTCAGAGGAGGAGGCCCGGTGGGCAACGCCAGATTGGGCTTGACTCTTAGGCAGGTAAGAGCTCGGACTGGTGCGGGTCAGTGAGTTATCTGGGAAGACCACGGTGGGGACAGCTACGACAGTGGTCCGAGGCGCTGGGGTGGGGGCAGGAGTATGGCCGGAGACCAGTTAGGAGGCTGTGAGAGAAGCGGCAGAAGGCGCCGGGTGCAGGCCCGAACCCAGGGTAGTTTCTGGGGCAGGGCTCCAGGATTTGTCTACCGGCTGGGTCCACCCCCACTCCTTAGGGCGCCCGGGCGGTGGTGGGGACTTTGGCGCTCGGTTGCCCCGGAGACGGCGTCCGGCGGGCGGAGTCGCAGGCGCGGGAGGCGGTCCCCGCCTGGTAGCGACCAAGAACCCCCAAGCACCCCCCTCCTACCCTCCCCCGACTACGAAGCCTCGCAGAGCGTCCTAACCGTCGCCCATGCGGCTCATGCAGACCTGGCAGCGTCCCGAGCGCCACAGCCGCGAGGAGGGACGGGCGCGGGGGAGGGGCGCGGGCAGCTTCCGGCGCCGCAGCTGAGGAGAAGGAGGAGCCGCCCCCGCCGCCTCCGCAGGCCTTAGGGGCGGAGAGTGGGGAGCCGCCCCGTCCCAGCCGCCAGGTCGACGCAGGTGGGGCCGCTGCGCCCGCCGGCGCCCCGCGGAGATGCGGCTGGTGTCTTAGGATTAGGTGTTGGTTGCAGGTACAGGCGGGGCGCGGCCCGTGAGACGAGGATGGTGGGGTGGGAGTGGGGTTCTTCTGAGGACCCGGAGCGACTCGTGTTCATTTTCTGGAATCTTCCAGTGCCTCGTGTTTGTTCTGCACATGGTAGATGCCCAATAAATTGTTTCTTTACTGGAATGAACTGCTGTTGTTTTCGGGGATCGCAAGACCCCTGGGGACGGTGGCGCTGAAACCTGGACCTTGAAGAACAAAATAATTTGATTTGTGGGGAAGAGAATCACTGAGTAACCTGTCCCAACTTGACTGCCAACTGTATCTGCCGCGCCGCCGCGAACAGGGGGAGGAGATGGGGAAGACTTGGCGGTAAAGAGGACAGCCTCGCATCCGAGACAGAATGGTGTTAAACGCCGGCGCGAGGTCCCTTAGAGCTTGAGCCTTGTCTATAAACCACATGTGGGGGTCAGAGCTTTCCCCCATTATCAGCATCAATCAGCGGCACAATGAATTCTGGAAAGTCTCCATCCTTTTCCACAGCACTCTGCTCCAGGCCCCACTCAGGCTGCTCCAGGTTTTGTTTGTGCCTCATGCTGAACTCCAAGGTCAGGGGAAAGTAGAAGTGAGGTGGGCTGTTGCCCAGGTTTTTTGACTGGCAACCAGTTCTTGCTGCTTCTCTCAGCTGCGGATTAAGGTCAGGGCGGGGGTTTGGGGTGGGGGGGAAGGACCAGGGCTTCCACATATCCCAGAGACATGCTGGGTAGTACTGTTTCTCTGCGGAAACTCATCAGGTAGGGGTGGAGGAGCAGTGAGAGAGATGTGGTTCTCCTATCTCCGTACTGCGCTCATTGTTTTTAATTTTAGTATGGTTATCTTACTTGTGTTGTGGGTGAAATGGTTTCCATGCCATAGAGATGATATTATACTCCCAAAACAAATTGAAGACAGCAATTTATTTGTATGTATGCAAAGCTCTTACTGTTGTTGTGCATTTACAATGAGTACTCAGTGTTATCTAGAATGTAATGAGTGAGCCACTTTAGACCTCCACCGTTTATTAAACAGGGCCTCTTGTGATCCACCCGTGCCCCAGCTAGGTGGCCCCAAATTATATGGTAGGCTGAGCAGTGGCCACTCAAATATATCAGGTCCTAATCTCTGAAACCTGTATATGTTACCTTATAAGGGAAAAGTGCCTTTGCATATGTGATTAAGTAGCTTGAAATGGAGAGATTACCGTGAATTATCTAGGTGGATCCTAAATGCAAACGCAAAGGTCCTGAGAGAGAGAGAGAAGCAAATTTGATACAGGCCGAAGAGAAGGCAATATGACCACAGAGGCAGATACTGGAGTGATGTGGCCACAAGTCACCAAATGCCTGGCAGCCAATAGAGCTAGAAGAGACAAGGAACTGATTCTCTTGCAGAGCCTCCAAAGGTGGAGGGAGCCCTGCCAACGCTATGCTTTCTTCCCCATGAGACTGATTTTGGACTCCTGGCCTCCACAATTATGAAAGAATAAGTTGCTGCTGTTTCAAGCTACCGAGTTTGTGATGATTTGTTATGGAAACTGTAGGGAACTAATACATATAAGCGTGCTCATAAATCACATAGCATACTGTACTGATGAATAGTTTACAGGTCTTCAGCTGGGGCAGTAGTGGGGTGCAGTAGTGGAGATCACTGTATATTTATCTGAATCCTGTAAATCCTAAAGAAAGGATTTGAATAGGGAATCTGATAAGAAATTTAAGTGGTGCATAGGAAGGAGGTAGTCTGGCATTTAAAGCAATTTTTTGAGAGTATTCCTATTAAAATATCACTATTTGCTCTGGCTAAACAGAATAAAGCTAAAAAGTGGCAAAGGCTTTGTCCTTACCTTAGCTGAATCATTATTGGTTATCCATCATATGTATATTAAGTAAAAGTTGCAGACACCTGGGGATTGAGGTCCAGGCCTGGGGAAAAGAGGGAATGCAGAAGTGCTTCCATGTTAAAATATGGCTAAAAGCAACCACTAGTCATCTGGAATAAAGACACTTCGGAGTTTTCAGGATACAGGAAAATTCAGTGTTCAAGTTTAGTGATTCACTTCGGGGACCCAGACAGCTAATTTACACTTCCCACTTTCCTTGATATGGTTTGGCTGTATCCCCACCCACATCTCATCTTGAATTGTAGCTCCCACAATTCCCTGTGGGAGGGACCCAGTGAAAGGTAATTGAATCATGGGGGCAGGTCTTTCCTGTGCTGTTCTTGTGATAGTGAATAAGCCCCATAAGATCTGATGGTTTTATAAAGGGGAGTTCCCCTGCACAAACTCTCTCTTGCCTGCCGCCACATAAGACTTCCCTTGCTCTTCCTCTGTGATCGTGACACCTCCCCAGCCATGTGAAACTGAGTCCATTAAACCTCTTTTTTCTTTATAAATTACCCAGTCTTGGGAATGTCTTTGTCAGCAGTGTGAAAACAAACTAACACACTCCCCACATCTGCTTGCTTTTCAAACTGCTTTATAAGGTATAATTTACATACCATAAAATTCATCTGTTTGAAGTCCAGTGATTTTTAATAAACTTACTGAATTGTGCAATCACCACACAGTTCAGTTTTAGAACATTTCCATCATCCAAAAATGATCCCTTGTACCCATCTGTAGTCAATCCCCATTCTCAACCCCAGCACTATCTACTTTTAATGTCTGACCTACTTCAGAGTTGGGTTTTACTCCCTTTATTGGACTGCTCCAATGGATTTATGACTACTGGCCCCAGCTTCTCCTAGTGTATACTGGAGGATCATATGCCCTTGATTAAAATCCTCCAGCGCTTTGTGTTGCATTTAGAATAAGCCCCAAAGTCTTCAGTATGTGGCCTTTTCAAGGATCCATGAGCTCTACCTCCACCAACCTCACTAACATCTTCTCAGGATAGTGTAGGAAAGGAAGTGATAAGCACAGTGTTCCTTTTGGCATGACGCACAGTTGGCCTCCATTAGAAGCCCTCTCATCCCCACTTAGCTACCCTGCAACCTCATTAGCCTTCTTCATTGGGAGTCAGTGAACACTGAGCTCTTCTCATCTTTGGGCCTTTGTGATGGCATTTCCTTTTAAGAAGTTACCCCTGGCCCCTGTGAGGCTGACTGACTCCTTTCTGTCATTCAGTTCAATGCCACCTCCTTAGAAAGGCCTTCCCTCACCTACCTTAACTAGAGGAGCTGTGTTAGTCTGTTTTCACGCTGCTAAGACATACCTAAGAGTGGGAAGAAAAAGAGGTTTAATTGGACTTACAGTTCCACATGGCTGTGGAGGCCTCAGAATCATGGTGGGAGGTGAAAGGCACTTCTTACATGGCAGCAGCAAGAGAAAATTACCTCCTCCTGGGTCCCTCCCACAACACATGGGAGTTCTGGGAGATACAATTCAAGTTGAGATTTGGGTGGGGACACAGTCAAACTGTATCATTTCACCCATGGCCCCTCCAAATCTCATGTCCTCATATTTCAAAACCAATCATGCCTTACCAGCAGTCCCCCAAAGTCTTAACTTATTTCAGCATTAACGCAAGTCTGCAGTCCAAAGTCTCATCTGAGATGAGCCAAGTCCCTTCTGCCTACGAGCCTGTAAAATAAAAAACAAGCTAGTTACTTCCTCAATACAATGAAGGCTGTGTTGGGTAAATACAGCCATTCCAAATGGGAGAAATTGGCCAAAACAAAGGAGTTACAGGGCCCATGCAAATCTGAAATCCAGCAGCAGGGCAGTCAAATTTTAAAGCTTCAAAATGATCTCCTTTGACTCCAGGTCTCACATCAAGGTCAACCTGATGCAAGAGGTGGGTTCCCATGGTCTTGGACAGCTCCAACCCCTGTGGCTTTGCAGGGTACAGCCTTCCTCCCAGACGCTTTCATGGGCTGGTGTTGAGTGACTGCAGCTTTTCAGGTGCATGGTGCAAAGTGTTGGTGGATCTACCATTCTGGGGTCTGGAGGATGGTGGCCCTCTTCTTACAACTCCACTAGGCAGTGCCCTAGTAAGGACTCTGTGTGGGGGTTCCAACCCCACATTTCCCTTCAGCACTGCCCTAGCTGAGGTTCTCCATAAGGTTCCCACCCCTACAGCAAACTTTTGCCTGGGCATCCAGGCATTTCCATACATCTTCTGAAATACAGGCAGAGGTTCCCAAACCTTAATTCTTGAGGCCTATGCACCTGCAGGCTTAATACCACATGGAAGCTGCCAAGGCTTGGGGCTTCCACTCTCTGAAGCCACAGCCCAAGGTGCACATTGACCCCTTTCAACCATGATTGGAGCAGCTGGGACACAGGGCACCAAGTCCCTAGGCTGCACACAGCACAGGGACCCTGGGCTCAGCCCACGAAACCACTTTTTTCTCCTGGGCCTCTGGGCCTGTGTTGGGATGGGCTGCCATGAAGGTCTCCGACATGGCCTGGAGACATTTTCCCATGGTCTTGGGGATTAACGTTACACTCCTTGCTACTTATGCAAATTTCTGCAGCCGGCTTGAATTTCTCCCCAGAAAATGGATTTTTCCATTCTATCACACAGTCAGGCTGCAAATTTTCCAAACTTTTATGCTCTGCTTCCCTTATAAAACTGAATGGCTTTTAACAGTACCCAGGTCTCTCTCGAATGGTTTGCTGCTTAGAAATTTATCCTGCCAGATACCCTAAATCATCTCTCTCAAGATCAGAGTTCCACAGATCTTTAGAGAAGGGGCAAAATGCCACCAGTCTCTTTGCTAAAGAATAGCAAGAGTGACCTTTGCTCTAGTTCCCAACAGGTTCTTCATCTCCATCTGAAACAACCTCAGCCTGGACCTTATTGTCCATATTGTTATTGGCATCTTGGGCAAAGCCATTCGACAAGTCTCTAGGAAGTTCACATTTTCCTGTCTTCTTCTGAGCCCTCAAAACTGTTCCAATCTCTGCCTGTTACCCGGTTCCAAAGTCGTGCCCACATTTTCGGGTATCTTTTCAGCAATGCCCCACACTACTGGTACCAATTTACTGTATTAGTCTGTTTTCATGCTGCTGATAAAGATATACTGGGAAGAAGAAAAAGAGGTTTAATTGGAGTTACAGTTCCACATGGCTGGGGAGGTCTCAGAATCATGGCGGGAGGCGAAAGGCACTTCTTACATGGCAGCAGCAAGAGAAAATGAAGAAGCAAAAGTGGAAACCCCGATAACCCCATCGGATCTCATGAAATTTAGTTACTATCACAAGAATAGCACAGGAAAGACCGGCCTCCATGATTCAATTACCTCCTCCTTGGTCCCTCCCACACACGTGGGAATTCTGGGAGATGCTGTTCAAGTTGAGAAGATTTGCGTGGGGACACAGCCAAACCATATCAGGAGTCTCAACTCCATCTCTCTGTATACCACTATCCTGTGTTATTTTCTTTATTGTACTTGACAACTCCCCAAAATTATATTTGTGATTTTTTTCCCCTTAGTGCCTTTCTTTCCCCATTGGAATATAAATTCATGGGGATAGAAACTTGATTGGTCTTGATTTTAAACAGCTCTATTTCTAGTATTTATAGAAACACTATGTTCATAGCAATAACATATTGTAAACTATCTAAATGCCAGCAACAGTAATTAATAGTTATCAAAGGCTTGCTATGTGCACCGCTCCATGTGCTAAGTGCTTTGTATGCATGAATTCTTTAGTTGAAGCTTGCCACTTTTGATATGGGAAGAGTAAGGGGAGCATGTCCTTCAAATATAGTCCTCTGCATTATTTTTTCAGAGACATTGGGTAGTTTTCTTTTTTTCTTATTAGAATGCTGAAATTTAAAGCTGGATCAATGTGCATTGCCACCAGTAATATCCCTAAAAGCCAAACTGGAGAGGTTTTTGCCAGGAGGGTAAGGAGGGACAAAAAGAACAGTACAAATAAAAGCAGAGTCCTAAAAGAGCATGACCCACTGAGGGCATAGCAAGTAAGACATCTATTGGGGCACAGTGTATGTCAGGGAGTGGCCAGAGAATAAACTGGTAAGTGGGTTAGGCCAGATCTAAAGGGCAAGCCTAAGAGTGCTAGTCTTAGTTCAAACCTTAGTCTTTGAGCAAGACAGCAAGATGGCTCTGGTTTTATAGGAAACTTTTAATGATTTTAAGAGACTAAAGCTAGAAAGATCATTTTGAGATACTTTGTAGTAGGCCTGTTAAGAACTGATGAAAGCATAAAAATACAATGGGAGTAAAATGAACTAAATTGCATATTCAAGGATTCTGTCTTTATGACTTGTGACCCCACCTAAGTCTTCTTTACTGAGTTAAAAGATATTACATATTTAAACTTAACAGAATATGGTGATTAATTGGATATGGAATTTGAATTGATGAAGATATTTGAAATACCCAAGAAAGAAGGTTTAGTGAGGAGATGAAGAGAGCAGATTTGGGATAAGATGAATTTAATACTACTGTAAATATATATGCAGAAATGTTAAAGGAAAAAAACTTAGCTGGGAATGGTGGCTCATCCCTGTCCTAGCACTTTGGGAGGCTGAAACAGACAGATCGCCTGAGTTCAGGAGTTCAAGACCAGCCTGGGCAACATGGCAAAACCCCGTCTCTACTAAAAATACAAAAATTAGCCGGGCGTGGTGGTGTGCGGCTGTAGTCCCAGCCACCTGGGGGGCTGAGGGGTGAGGATCGCTTGAGCCACCACTGCACTCCAGCCTGGGTGACAGAGTGAGACCCTATCTCCAAAAAAAAAAAAAAAAGAAAAAAGAAAAGTAAAAACTTTATTATAATTTATCTAGAGCCAAACATTTTTAACAAAATAGCATAAGACTTGCTGGAAGCAGTAGAATTGTTCCTATCTAGCTTTGCTGTTGACGGACATCACCTGTGAGAAGTCATATTTTGGGTCAGCTTTTTATTGGATGTTTTCCATGGGAAATCATAGAATGTCCAAATTGGAGAAGATTTTAGAGATTTTCTAGTCCAACACTCTACCCAAGAAAGAATACCAGTGGCAGTTGCCGTTTCAACAAGTGCTCACCCATTCTTACCTTCAACACCTCTCAAGGAAGCCCTCCAGGTATATATTCAGGGTGCTGTAGTCTTTAAAAAATCCATCTCCACCTTAAACTAAACTCTGTCTCTCTTTACTTCTGTTCATTAGTCTGAATTCTGCACATAGAATATATTCATTTTTTTCTTTTTCTTTCTTTTTTTTTTTTTTTTTTTTGAGATGGAGTCTCGCTTTGTCGCCCCGGCTGGAGTGCAGTGGCCCATCTCGGCTCACTGCAAGCTCCGCCTCCCGGGTTCACGCCATTCTCCTGCCTCAGCCTCCGAGTAGCTGGGACTACAGGCGCTCACCACCAGGCCCGGCTAATTTTTTGTATTTTTAGTAGAGACAGGATTTCACCGTGTTAGCCAGGATGGTCTCGATCTCCTGACCTCGTGATCCCAAAGTGCTGGGATTACAGGCGTAAGCCACCGCGCCCGGCTTCTTTTTCTTTTTTTTTGAGACAAGGTCTCACTCTGTTGCCGAAGCTGGAGTGCAGTGGTGTGATCATGGCTCACTGTGGCCTCAACCTCTTGGGCTGAGGTGATACTCCCACCTCAGACTCCTGATGAGCTGGGACTACAGGTATGGCCCACCATACCCAGCTAATTTTTAAAATTTTTTGTAGGGGCAGGATCTCACTATATTGTCCAGGCTGGTCTCAAACTCTTGAGCTGAAGCAATTCTCCCTCCTTGGCCTCCCAAAGCACTGGGATTACAGGCTCATTCATTTTTTAAATGTGGAAAAGCTGCTTACATTCCACCAAGATATTCCAAAAATCTTGGTTGTTTATCATTTCAGTATACCTGCTTAAAATATATAGACCTGTTTTGACTCACCAGACAGAAGTTTCTCTACCCAATTACTTCTCTAACCAAGCACAAGTGATGTTGCCTGGTCAAAAGCATTTCCAAACAGTGAAACACAGTTAAAATGGTCAGAAGATATTTAGCTAGTCTATTTAAGTCAGTTTGGACTGTATCTGGAGAAAGGTCAGGTCTGAGAATATTGATATTAGGTCATATGTGCCTATAGGTTTACTTGCTACATTATCTTGATAGTGCCAGTGAGATCTGTACCAGTAAAATTAGAATTGGGCCAATAGAGAGCGTATAATTAAACACATTTTGTTGTAAAAACGTGATTTAGATAAGTGCTATAGGCTATTTTTTTTCTTTGAGACGGCATCTCGTTCTGTCACCGAGGCTGGAGTGTAGTGGCACGATCTCGGCTCACTGCAACCTCTGCCTCCCATGTTCAAGCAGTTCTCCTGCCTCAGCCTCCAAAGTAGCTAGGATTACAAGCATATGCCACCACACCCAGCTAATTTTGTATTTTTAGTAGAGATGGGGTTTCCCCATGTTGATCTTGAATTCCTGGCCTCTAGTGATGCGCCCACCTCAGCTTCCCAAAGTACTGGGATAACAGACTTACAGCACGCCTGGCCTATAGGCTGTTTTAAAAAATTTTATTTTTGTAGAGGCAAGGTCTTACTATGTGGCCCAGGCTGATCTCAAACTCCTCAAGCAACCTTCCTACCTCAACATCCCAAAGTGTTGGGATTACAGGTATTAGCCTCCATGCCTGGCCTGCTGTAGTCTATTAAAATGTACTTTCACATAAAAGGAAAAAATAACACTTGTTGTTGCCATTGTTATATGTGTGTTTTACATATTGTCAGGATCTTCAGTGATGAACATGAATTTGTAAATTGAACTTTTGAAATAATAAATTTCAGTTAATGAAATATATATAAATGAGCAGATTTTAAATATTTTGTTTTTTCAGGTATTAATAGAATAAGTGAAAATAAGAATATCCAGAAGTTAAGGTAACTTTTGTTTTACTTCTAGTTATATTTAAGAATTGTGAATGTATACAACTGATACACTATTTTATCTGTATCTATATCTGATTTATTTTAGGAAACCTGAAGCCTTGAACTTGATGGATGCCTAGGCCAGAATATGAATATATCATAGGCCTTCAATATAAAAGCTGCAAGAGCTTTATCTTTGTGGTTTTCAGACTATGTTCAGTGGAGCCCTCTGTGTTTCATAGAGGTGTCTCTGGGGCAGAGAGGAGGGTATGTGGGGCTCAGAAGATTTAAAGAAACATTTCCACTGCTTAAGAAGGGTTTGAAAAACACAACTGTAATTTCATTTAGTAAGGGTGGAAATTGAGACTCAGAGATATGAAAAGGTCTGCCCATGCTCTCACAGTTAACAGATGACAGAATTAAGTTTCCTGATTCTAAGTTCTGTGCTTCTTCCTTATTGCCTCCCTACTAGATGGTATTATGTATGGGTGAAATGTGATCGTAAATAGCTCAATTCCATATTATATTATACTAGTCCCTGTGTTTAGTCAATGCAGATTAAACCCACTTTCTTTTCTGTTAGTGGGCCTATATGAAATGTAATATAGTTCTTTATTATGGGAAAGTGAGTTAGTTTACATACACTGCTTAAGTTATAAAGATAGTATTGGGATTTTGGGGTGTTTTTTTGGTTTTTGTTTTTTTGAGATGGGGTCTTGCTCTGTCACCCAGGCTGGAATGCAGTGGTGATCATGGCTCATTACAGCCTTGAACTCCTGGGCTCAAGGGATCCTCCCACCTCACCCTTCCATGTAGCTGGGACTACAGGCAAGTACCACCATGCCCGGCTAATTTTTTCATGTTTTGTAAAGACAGAGTCTCACTTTGTTGACCAGGCTGGTCTCTAACTCTTGGTCTCAAGGGATCCCCGCCCACCTTGGCTTCCCAAAGTGTTGGGATTACAGGCGTGAGCCACTGCGCCCTGCCAGATAGTATTGTTATTCATGTTATTGCTATCCAATTGTTTGGTACTTTATATGTGTTGAGGCAGTTACTATATAGGAAGGCCTGCAGTTACTATGTAGGAAGGCCTGTGCGTGAGTTATCTCAGTTAACTCTTATTCTTTTAAGGTGTATACTCTTTTACCTTTTAAACTGTATACTTTTTATCTCCCTTGTATAGTCATACAGAGATTAAATATTGTTCTCAATGTGACACAGCTAGTAGATCACAGAGCTAGGATTGTAACATCCAGAGACTTGAAAAAGTGTAATTGAGAAAACAGACACTGAGAACATGTGAAGTTAATAAGCAGCTAACAGCAATTCAGGTAGTACAATGCTGTTCAACATGAATGGTTCTCCTTATTGTGTTTCTGAGATTGTACCAGCCCAGATATGTTTATTTGAATCAGTCCTGAGGTACCTCAGAATTTCCCAAGGAAAACATACCTGCAGACTGGTTCTAGAAGAATACAGACCAGTTCTGTAAGATCCCCAGTCTCAGGTTTCTGTGGAAGGTAGGGTGGTTCATCATCCTAGGAGCTTGAGTCAGCTGAAGAATCCAGGAATCTAAATAGAACATACATCATAAGTCATCTGCACCCAATCAAAATAGAGCTTGGGCCAGGCATGGTGGCTCACGCCTGTAATCCCAGCACTTTGGGAGGCCGAGGCAGGCACTCACTTGAGGCCAGGAGTTGAAGACCAGCCTGGCCAACACAGCGAAACCCTGTCTCTACTAAAAATACAAAAATTAGTTGGGCGTGGTGCCACATGCCTGTAATCTCAGCTACTCAGGAGGCAGAGGTGGGAGAATTGCTTGAACCCAGGAGGTGGAGGTTACAGTGAGCCGAGATCGCACCACTGCACTCCAGCCTGGAGACAGAGCAAGACCCTGTCTCACCAAAAAAAAAAAAAAAAAAAAAAAAGGATTCTAAATCAGTTATTCATTCTATGATAGTCACATGAGAGGTCTGCCTTAACTAGTAGCCATACGAAAAGAAATCAAGGTGAGGATTATTCACACTAGGAAAAGTATAAGTGCACACCTACCAGGGTCTTTCGAATCCAAGGAGGAGAGGTCAGAACCCAGGAGATACTTTTAAATGTTTTATCTCAACTATATAACAAAGCCTAAGGCTTTAGGCAATTTTCCTCCAAAAGTTCCCTCTTTGTGGTCTATGGTTTCTTAGACTTTTTTTTCCCCCCCGGCAACATTCCAATCAAATAACCAGAGTAGAATAGTTACATAGATATTACTTTTTATTTTATTTTATTTTTGAGACAGAGTCTTGCTCTCTTGCCCAGGCTGGAGTGCCATGGCGCGATCTCTGCTCTCCACAAGCCCCGCCTCCCGGGTTCACTCCATTCTCCTGCCTCGGCCTCCCAAGTAGCTAGTACTACAGGTGCCCACCACCACGCCCGGCTAATTTTTTGTATTTTTAGTAGAGATGGGGTTTCACCATGTTAGCCAGGATGATCTCGATCTCCTGACCTCGTGATCTGCTTGTCTTGGCCTCCGAAAGTGCTGGGATTACAGGCATGAGCCACTACACCCAGCCTAGATATTACCTTTTAGAAATGTAAGGCTCCTTTTAATGTGAACTTGTTCATAATTTTAAATCAGGCAGAACTGTTCAAAATAGACCTTGGGCATATCAGAAGAGGCCAAGGTCTCACCTCTGAATTTTACTCAGAGATTTAAAATTCACATGTAAGTTTGTGTTATGATCCCCAGTTCAACCAGGTGCAGAGCTTTTTTTAGACAATTTTATGATTTACCAAAGCAAAAAACCTTGCTTTTTCTAGAAATCTTTAATCATTTCATAAGCTTTATGCCTGAAAATAGGAAAAATATTTCAATTCCTATAGTGTCACAAAAGTAGAGAAACACTGATGACTTGACCAAATTGAGGATATATGGTCAGTCTAAAATAGTGAAAATGAATTACAAATATTATTTAAATGCAGATTTTCATTACTCTAGAATACACACACAAAATAACTACCAGCATTGGCAACAGAAGTACTAAGCATCCTCTTCACAAATAAATGATTGTTTTAAAACTCTATTTTAAGTGAATAAACCCATGCTGTCTTCTGTAAACTACTAATTTTCTAAGAAAAAAAATTCTCCTTTGAAGGACTGCTGCTTTCCAACAGCCTGTTATGAATAACACAAGCATTCATACTGAATTATGATAACACAAGCATTCATCTTACTTCGAAGTAAACAAGTGTGGTTTCAACATCAGAATATTCTAAAGCCAAACTTTCCTCTTTCTTCTTTTCTCTACTCTCTAACTTCTAGTTTCAGTTCTGCCTCGGTCTTAGATTCTGTTTCCTGCTTAATACTAAAGTCTTTCATAGTGAATTACTATATGATTTGCCAGTATTTGGTTGTGGTTCTATACCTGTCCTTCTCATTTCTTTATGCTTCTGATTGATCTCTAATTCATGATAACATTACTCAGCAATTTGAACTTTCTTAGTGTCATTCGTTATCCTGAAGAATCCTAAAATGTATCATTTTAATGTATCAATAAAATTATACAACAAACATTCACAGTGAAACTCATTTAAATGAGAAGTCATGCTTCTTGTACACAGCATAGAGTCATTTTTTATAAGCCAATTTGAAAATCCTTTTCTTTCAATAGGCAAGGTTTTCTTTTTCCTGAAGTAGCAGTCTCTTCTATTTAGAACATTTAAATTGCCTAGCAATCTTGACTAACATTCTATTTGTTATAATTCTTTATGGAATATCTCCCTGTCTACTACTTCCTAAAAAATGATAGCACGAAACATATTAAGGTAGATATGTTCTGTCGTTGACTGTAGTTTTGACAGGTGGCATCTCAGTAATCAAAAGGAAGAAAATTTGAATTCAATAACAAAAATGAATTCAGTTTAATAAAAACTGTTATGCTCAGGGTTTGAAAAAAAATTTTAAAGCACTTTATGCTTATAATCATGAATTAATGTAAAAATGACAAGCAGTGTTACCTGATCTTCCTCTTCCCATCACGTTAGTGGTCCTCACCCACATCTATTTTGTTTTGTTTTTTAAAGAATCAAGATTTTGATTCATGAATTTGACCAATTGTTTTTCTTTTTTCTATCTTAATTGCTGCTTTTGCATTTATTATTTCCTACTTGTGCTTTCTTTTAGTTCACCCATTTTTCTGTGGTTTGTGTTAGAGACTTAATTTACTTTTATTATTTCATTTTTATTGATATATGTGTCCAGGGCTGGGAATTTTCATCTTTTTACTATTTTGATGTATGTCACAGATTGATATGTACTATTTTCATTATTATTTTTCAGAAATTATTTAATTTCAGCTTGTATTTCCCTAATCACACAAGAGTTGTTTAATAGAAGGCCTTTTAATTTCCAAGTGGAAAGACCTTTTTAATTTGGAGATTTTGATTTTAATTTTTAGCTTTATTATGCTGTGACCAGAAGGTGTGGTTTGTAACATTTCTACTTTATGGAGCCTACCAACCTTTTATTTGTGCCCTAGAATGTGACTGATTTTTGTGAATGTGTCATGTGCCCTTGGCGAGGAAAGTATATTGTCTGTTATCAAAGTATAGTGTTTAATATATAGCCAAAAGGTCAACCTTAGTGATTAGTTCTTCTAAATCTTTTATATCTCTACTTATTTTTTGTCCACTTGGCCTGTGTAATACTAATTGTCCGTTAAAGCCTCCCATTATTACTGTGTTTGCAGTTCTTAGCATATCTTCTGTGGATTTGTGCTTTATCCAAGTGATGGCTGTGTTATGTGGCACATGTCTTTGTTGTGGAATGTGGCTTTTAACTTCAAGTGCGCTGCATTTTGTTTTAGTTAGTGCTCTCTGGCTTGAAGACTGCTTAGTCTGGTATCAGGATTTTAACCGGTGCTTTCTTATTGTTTTCATTTGCCTGGAAAATTTTTGTTCATCCTTTTATTTTTAATCTTTTTGAATCTGTGCGATTTTAGGCATACTTTTTTGTACTTAGAAGAGTTGTTTTTTTTGAAAGCCAATTTGAAAATCCTTGTCTTCCAATAGGCAAGTTAAGTCGTCTGACATTTATCAACATGACTGGTCTAAATTCTGTGGTATTTTTTTCACACCATTATATTATCTTGTGGGTGTAATTACTGAATGTGTTATATTTGCTAGAGTTTCTTTATTTGGTGTTTCTTCTTTATGTTTCCCTTTAGAATTCTTTGTCGTTTAAGAAGGTTTGTATTTTTACTCTAGTGGTTACTTTTGTACTTATGCTTTTTATAGTGCACTTTTAAAACCCCTTTTTCTTACTTGACCTTTTACTTTTTGTCAGTTTTAAGTGGTGTCCTTTGACTACTGTCTATTCCCTTTATAACAGTCAATGGTCTTTTACTTTCTGCTTTTCTTCCTCTTCCTTCCGTTTTTAGTTACATTTATTCTCTTTTGTCATGCACATAATATTTATATCACTACTCAGTGCCATTACCTCACCTTTGTTTTTCTCAGCTCTATAACTGAATATTTAAATATTCACCATCAGTCCCCTTGCAGTTTTCGCAGTCTTGTTTTTTAAATGTTTGTATTTATCCTTTTTTTCCAAATTTATTTTTAAAAATTTAGAACCTACACGAAACCTTGAAGATCTTCACCAGTTGCCACATTTTACAGTGGTCTTTTGGGTGAATGAGGCTCATCTTCTCTAGTAGAATCCTCAGCAGAGGCACACGGCACAGTGTTCCGGTACAGTCAAAACTGCTTTTTTTGTGGCTTCACACGTTTTGAAGGACATCTTGGCTGGCTGTAATATCCTTGGTTTGTCGTTTCTTTTCTTTCTTGAAAGTACTACTACACTCTTGCCTTACTGTGTGTGTTGCTTTTTAATAACCTGGTGCCACTCTAATCTTCTTGCCTTTGTAAATTATTTCATCATTTTGCTTGGAGGTACTGAGGATTTTTTCATTATCTTTAAAGTCTTAATATTGTTTTAATAGTATATGTCTCAGAGTTGATCATTCTTAGTCACCTTTCCCTATAGATTCAGGTCTTTGTATCTAGAAAATTTTCTTGGATTATAGTTTTAAATAATAGTTCTGTTTCATTGTTGTATGCTTTTCCTTTAGGAAACCCAGTTGTATTCAACCTTATTTACCTGTCTTCCATTTCAATCCTCTCTCACTCTTTTTTTTTTTTTTTTTTTTTTTTGTCTTCTTTTCTTCCTTTTTGTGGAGAATGGGGTCTTACTCTGTTGCTCAGATAGGTCTTGAACTCCTGGGTTCAAGCTGTCCTCCTGCTACTGCCTCCCTAAGTGCTGGGATTACAGACGTGAGCCACCAGGCCTGGCTTTCACCCTTTTTACTTCTTTATTTTATTTTTTATTTTAATGGTGGCTTTCCTGATTTTCTTCAGTGCCTTTATTAAATTTTTATTACAACCTGTCATTGCTTGTATACTTTGTGATTCAGTCTTTATTTCTGATATAATTTTGTTTTTTATTTCTCTGTCTTTCCTAACTTTAATCAACTCTCATTTAATCTCTTCCTGTTTGTTTTCTTGTTTTGTTTCTTGTCCATTTTTTATTCTTTGACTTTACATTTCTAATTCAAGGGTGATTTTTCATACCCCTAAATGCTTGTTTGAGCATACTGGATTCAGTTTGGAGTATTATGTTACAGTTTTCTTTGGCTTCATGTTTGTTGTTTGTGGGAGAGACTTTTCATCATCAGAAAAGATTTTATTCATGTTTTCTGACATTTTGCAGTAGATGTAGTCTGCTTTCATTTATTCCTATTCATTTTGTGGACAAAGTTCTTACTTTGAGACTGCCTTCTGCCATGCAGTTTCTTTATGGTTAGTGGTGTTGGGTGGGAAGGGTGGAAGGAGGGTGGTATATCTAGCTTGTGTTTTGTTTCTACTGGTTCCTTAGTGTTTCTCTCTCATTTCCTTCTTTCCCTTGACTGCCATGTCCCTAGGGGAGACCATCTTTTCTCTCTGTATCTCATTCGCCCCAAGAAACACTGCTTCTCTGAGGCCGCTACTTCTTCAAATACCTACTCCACTGTCAGGGCTGTGGACTATCAGGTTCCAACCTGTGCTTAATATTTTGACCTTTACTTTTTCACATCTGGGGGTGAATTTATCTGTACTTTTTCTGTCTTCTGCTTACCTCTTCCCATTTTCTGTACCCTTAGGCTTCTAGTGTTGGTAGGTGGGCTGCAGGAATCATTCTGGAAAAAGCTTTTCCCTCTACTTGCAGATTATTTGAAGGTTGTGGTACTCTCTGTCTTCCAGTGATGCTAGGGGTGTGGAGTGCCTGGTTGATTTTATGGCAATTTGGGAGGATGAGAGGAAGATTTGAAATCAGACCACCACCATTGTTCTCCACATTTAGAATTCCCCTCTTAGCTCAAACGAAAATTGTAAGCACTATTTGACATCAAAGAAGTTCTTCAACTTTTACTAGTGACCTCTATTTTGATGATTTGTGGTGTTTGCTAAGGAGATATTTTCTTCCATTATTTGATGGTGTAACTTTATGAGAAACCTCTACCCCAAATCAGAGCACTAATTACCACAAAAATTATTAGTTTCTTATTTTCAGGTTGTCTTTAATAATCCACTTTGTCATTAAAATCAATAATTTTCACCATAAGATTGTATTCACTTATTAATTTTATGTAATACAATGTATTTCAGTATAAATAATTATTTTTCTGGAGAAGAAATTATTACTAAATTTCAAATGTTAAAAAGTCAGTTCCTGTTCCTCTATGAACTTTTTTCACATAGTACCTTATTAATAAAGATTGAATCTCTGTCTTTCATAGACAGGAACCAAAAGAACCAAAGAGGGAACCATTCATACTTCAAGATCTCTAAGAAGAGGTGGCAATATTTAATATGGAATCAAAAGCTTGTGAATCAAATAATGAAGATATTTTATCAAGTAGTGGTGTCACATCTAATGAAGGTATGTGCTGTTTATAAAACAAATGGGAAAAAATTAGAATTAACCAATCTTCATGATACTCATTCAAGCTGCTGTTTCTAGTATGTTTTGTTTTTAACCATGTAGGTTGCAGACCATGGTCATGAATGTCTATCATATTGTTTATAACTCTACTTTTTGAAGAAGAAATTCCTTTGTCTTTCAAGGAATTTTTTGTTTTAAAAAATGTTTCTACATTGAGGTACTTCAGCCTCAACATGCACCATGCCTTCCTAATGCCTTCTCTTCCTCCTCTGTCTCTTGGTCCAGCCTGTCAGAATTTTGTATCATTTTACTTCTTTTTCCTTACATGCTGCTACATCCAGTCAGGTACTGAGGCCCTGCTGATTTTACCTTTGAAATGTCTCTTGAATTCAGTTTTTCCCTCTCCATTTCCGTTACTGGTATTCTGGTTCAAGCCCCCATCACCTCTGATCCAAATTATTTCAATCAAAAGGTGATTCCTATGTCAGGAAAACAGACACAGATGGAATAAATAGTTGGAATTTAATACAGGGAATGGTTACATGGGTGTTGAAAGAGCTGCAAAGCCTAAAGGGATGAAACAACACGGAAATTACCTACTGTAGGAAGCTGCTACCAATCATGCCTTTGGCTAGAAGGACAATGAGAAAAGCAGCTGTTGCAAGGGCATGGAAGCTAGAGGTAGAACCACGGAGAGGGCTGCCTGGAAGGAGCTGAAGCCACCACTAACTACCAGATCCCCGTTTGAGACAGTGAGAGGACCATGACCTTGGTTTCCCCCTTTCTGCTGCCTCCGGCTCTTCTGCCAGCTCTTCCCATTGCAAACCTACCTGGAAGAGAACTAGAAAGGGAACCTACAACACTCAACAGAGAAGGGGAAGGACAGCAAATGCATTCAAGGGCAATCAGGCAAATGACCTGCACTTTCCCTTCCTTGCCCATCTCTCCTCATTCTTTTCTTCTTTTCAATTTAATGGTCTATCTCAGAAGCCAAAATCATACAAGTTTTTTTTCTAGTAGAAATTCAGATTCGAAATAGGATAATCACAGATGTAACTCATTCTTTTAGTGCATGCAGAGGTTATTCTCAGATACTGATCTGTTGTTTTACTGGTCTGCTTAGAAACATTTCTTTCAGTACCCTTATTGTATAAACATTTCTGCTTCTCACTACATCCTCATACATCCTAAAATGCCATTGTCATCTCCACCTTACTACACCCATCTCCCCTGGCCACCTCCGCTTGCTCACTTCCTACATAGCCACATCCTCATACTCATTATTGGCACTGGCACTTAGATCACGGGTTGTCCCTCCCTGCTCAGGTGCATCATCATCCTGTAATACCACCCTCATGGGTGACCCATCTAAGATCTTAGACTTACAGCATTTTGACCTCTTAAATTCTTATTATTTTAACTTTTACTCTAGTTACCCACTCCCTTATTTTGGATCTCATTACCAAGAACTGATAGACTTCTGAAATTCTACCTCTTGTCTTTTATTTTTTTAACATAAACTCAAGATTTTTTTTTTTTTTTTTTTTTTTTTTTTTGAGATGGAGTCTCGCTCTGTCGCCCAGGCTGGAGTGCAGTGGCTGGATCTCAGCTCACTGCAAGCTCCGCCTCCCGGGTTTACGCCATTCTCCTGCCTCAGCCTCCCGAGTAGCTGGGACTACAGGCGCCCGCCACCTCGCCCGGCTAGTTTTTTGTATTTTTTTTAGTAGAGACGGGGTTTCGCCGTGTTAGGCAGGATGGTCTCGATCTCCTGACCTCATGATCCGCCAGTCTCGGCCTCCCAAAGTGCTGGGATTACAGGCTTGAGCCACCGCGCCCGGCCAAAACTCAAGATTTTATTGTCTTCACAATAAAACAGAAGGTGACACTGAGAACTGGATCGCTTGGCCCTTTCTCTTCATATCTCAAGCCAGTTCAAGAGGCTTGCATCTCTTGGTTGCCAGCATTCTCTTAGATCTGCAGCTAGGTTCAGTGCACTCAAGGCATCAGCACAATCTTCTTGATCGTTTTAGTCTTTTTCCAGAAAATCGACTTAGTCTGCCCATCATAGCCACTCTGCTTCCTGTCATCATGCTACTCTCTCTGGGCATACAGATAATCCTTGCCCTTCTTGTACTGTGTCGTTTTGTGGAGTTGGTGCTTGTCACACTTTTTACAGAAAGTCTGTGGGTTTTAGGAACATTTACCATGCTTGTGGGAGTGCTATTGGCAAAGAAAGGAAGTTTGTTTTTCTTTCAACCTCCTATCTTTCAACAATCTCACTCCCTTATTCCTAGAGTACACCTGTTTTCTGCACATGAAGGTAGTGGACCCATGTCAAAAATCACTTTTTGAGATTGTAAACACTTAAATGGCTTAGATCTACACCTTGAGACTCTGATTCAGTAGGTCTAGAGTGGAGATCAGGCACCACTGGATTTTTTTTAAAGCTCCCCAGGTGATCCTGATTTATAGCAAAGATTGAGAACAACTGCTTTAGGTTCTGCCATTTTCTCCAAAATTATCAGCCTCATTCTATCTTCACTTTCTTTTGTATCATTCCTTATTTCAGCGAGTCACTTGCCAGTATTCTCAACTTCCTTTCCCCTTTATTATTCTCTTGCACTCTTACAGGAAAAACCAAATCCTTATCAGGCTGACTGCCTTCCCTGTTATTCAGTGGGCTGCTGCAAGATTTTGAATTTGTTAGGGAAAATACACAAATGTGTATTTTCCACTTCAGAGTCAGTCTCTTATCTCAATTGGATGCTGCTAAGAAATTTTTCTCATGATCTTAGCCAGGTATCTTTCCAGTTTCCATAATACTTATTTCAAAATCACACCATTCTTTTTTTTTGTTTTTTTGGTTGTGAGGGGTAGTGCAGAGGGAGAAGTATGAACGTTTTTTTTATTATTATACTTTAAGTTCTAGGGTACATGTGCACAATGTGCAGGTTTGTTACATATGTATACATGTGCCATGTTGGTGTGCTGCATCTGTTAACTCATCATTTACATTAGGTATATCTCCTAATGCTAACCCTCCCCTATCACCCAACCCCACAACAGGCCCCAGTGTGTGATGTTCTCCACCCTGTGTCCAAGTGTTCTCATTGTTCAATTCCCACCTATGAGTGAGAACTTGCAGTGTTTGGTTTTCTGTCCTTGCGATAGTTTGCTCAGAATGATGGTTTCCAGCTTCATCCATGTCCCTACAAAAGACATGAACTCATCCTTTTTTATGACTAAATAGTATTCCATGGTGTATATGTGCCACATTTTCTTAATCCAGTCTATCATTGATGGACATTTGGGTTGGTTCCAAGTCTTTGCTATTGTGAATAGTGCCGCAATAAACATACGAAAATCACACCATTCTTAACTCCCTTTCCCTGTCTTCTTCTTTCTCACTCTCAGATAACATTATTTCCTAATTTCTAGAGAAAATAGAAGCCCTATGCTGATCCTCTTTTTTTTCTCCTCATATCCTGTGCTGAAGGCCCACTATTTTTCGCAGTCCATGCCTCCTTCTCCCATAGCTCAATGGAAGAGTCAGCTTCTTAATTCACTAACCATGTTTTTCTTTTCGATCCCCACTGTCAAATCCTCTGCCCCTTCAGAGATCTGGCTCAGAAATTACCCCGGCTCATTCGTATCTTCAGCCTCTTTCTCTCCGTTTGCACCTTTTCATCAATAAAACCATTCTACGTCTCTCCCAATCTAAAAACACTAACAAATACATAGAACACACAAACCAAAACGACAAAAACACTTTTCCCTGACCTATCCCTTCCTGATCTCTCCTTCATACTTGTGCCTTCTAAAAGAAAAATCTGTGTTCCCTAGCTACGTTTTCTACCCATCCGTTCACTCTACAAGCTACTGCCTTACGGCTTTTGCGCCCAGTATTCCAATGAAATAACTCTGGCCAATGTGGCCAGATTCCCCCTCTTTGCTAAGTCCAATGAACTGCTTTTTATTTATTTATTTATTTATTTATTTATTTATTTATTTATTTATTTTGTTTGAGGTGGAGTCTCACTCTGTCATCGCCCAGGCTGGAGTGCAGTGGCACGATCTAGGCTCACTGCAAGCTCCGCCTTCCGGGTTCATGCCATTCTCCTGCCTCAACCTCCCGAGTAGCTGGGACTACAGGCGCCCACTACCATTCTCAGCTAATTTTTTGTATTTTTAGTAGAGATGGGGTTTCACCGTGTTGCCCAGGCTGGTCTTGAACTCCTGAACCCAGGCAATCCACCTGTCTTGGCCTCCCAAAGTGCTGAGATTACATGCGTGAGCCACGGTGCCCGGCCTATTTATTTTTAATTTAACTTAATTTAATTTAATTTTAAGTTCTGGGATACATGTGCAGGATATGCAGGTGTGTTGCATAGGTAAATGTGTGTCATCATGGTTTGCATCACCTATCAACCCATCACCTAAGTATTAAGCCCTGTATGCGTTAGCCATGTATCCTGATGCTCTCCCTCCTTCTGCACCCCAATAGGCCCCAGTGTGTGATGTTCCCCACCCAGTTTTCTTTTTTGAAATTTCTGAAGTTGCAGAAAAATAGAAAGAACAATACAGTGCTCACCTTATATACCCTCCAACTGGATTCACTAGTTCTCCACATTTTGTCATATTTGCTTTATCTGTGTACCTATAATATGTATCTCATTTTGCCAGACTATTTGAAAATTAGTTGAAAGCATCATGATTCTTGCTTTAAAACCTGAATGTGCATCTCCTAAGAATAAGGATGATTTTCTCAAACCACATTATTATATCTAAGATAAAAACTGTCAATACAGTATCATCTAATGTGTTCATATTTAAATTTCTCCAGTTGTCCTCCCAAAAAGTCTTAGGTATTTTTACTAATCTAGGAGCAAATCAAAGATCATGAATTGTATTTGGTTGTTTGATCTCCTTATTCTCTTTAAATTTATAACCATTCTGTCTCTCTCTGCATGTTTCTCATGGCATTGGCTTTAAGAGTTCAGAACAGTTGTTACAGAATGTACCATAGAATGTCCCCATTCTAGAATTTTAAAAATTGTTTCTCATGTTCAGATTTAGATTATACTCATTTGACAAGAGTTTTACATAAGCGATGTATACATTTTTTTTTTTTTTTGGTCTCGCTCTGTCGCCCAAGCTGGAGTGCAGTGGCATGATCTCAGCTCACTGCCACCTCCGTCTTCCAGGTTCAAATGATTCTTGTGCCTCAGCCTTCCAAGTAGCTGGGATTATAGGCATGCACCACCACGCCTGGATAATTTTTTGTATTTTTAGTAGAGATGGGGTTTCACCATGTTGCCCAGGCTGGTCTTGAACTCCTGAACTCAGGCTCTCCACCTGCCTTGGCCTCCCAAAGTGCTAGGATTACAGCCATGAGCCACCATGCCCAGCCAAGTGATGTATACTTTTACAGCATACCCCCAGGGAACACATAATGCCACATCCCACTAATTGAAAGTTACATTTCCCCCTTTGTAATTAGTATGTAATCTTTAGCAAATCTTTTGAAACCCTGTGAATATCCTGCTACTAAATAATCCTTCATCCAGTGGCTTTAGCGTCAACTAAAGATCCATGCCTAAATCAATTATTACATTGATGATTTTCTAATTTTATCATAGTTATTAGCTGACATTCTTCAGGAATAAAACAGCTTTCCCTGTTATCATTATAGAACCATCTTTTGTTTTTTTAATTTAAAGTGCTATGATGCATTGCTGTCACTACTGTTTTTGATTCTCAGTTGTATCAAATTTGACCAGCCCCTTAAAGCTGGTTTTGTGTCTTTTTAAAGGCATTACCCCAATTTATTGCTTTCTGGCACATCAAAACGTTTCAGGCTCACCTTGTATTTTGCCTGTTCCCTCAGACCTGGATTCAACCATTTTGCTAGCAAGCCCTTGTTCCTTTTAGGAGGGAATCATATTCAGAAATCAAGATCTGGCATGCATATTGCTACTGAGGTGCCATTGTGTCTCAGACCGTTTAGTGGCTAAAGCTTGGAAGTCAATTTTTAAAAATCATAAGTTAGAAGCACTGATAACTCAAATTCAAATCCGATATCATAGAGTTCTTCCTTATCATTCATATTTGTGTCTTTCCTACAGTGAAAACCCTAATTTCCAAAGACTTCAGTACATTTATTCATTTTCTCTCTTCTATAATACACATGAACTAGTTTCAGAATTATAACAACACTACCAACATTAACCGCTTACTAAGTAACCAAGGCTGGCTGTACAGTGTTCTAACGTTAGCACTGTGTTCTAATGTTATTTGAAGGAACAATCTTGTTTTCTCTGTGAGGTGGTTATCAATTTCCTTATTTACTTAGGTTTACTTGTTTTTGTTAGTATTTAATTTATTTTCATTTGTTTTTAATTTTATTTTTGAATACATGTAACATTTATATGGCTCAGAAATAAAAACTTTGTGAACAGTATGCTCTAAATAGAGTCTTGCTCCCATCCCTATCTACACCACTCTGTTTCTACTTATCCCTATACCCCATAGATAGCTGCTTTTATGAGTTTCTGTTTTATTCTTCCAGGTTTTTGTTTGTTTGTTTTTTGCAAAATTAAGTAAATGCTACAAACACACAGAAACACATGCACCCTTCCTTCCCCTTTCTTATGAAGAGGAGGGAAATTAACCTCTACCTCCTCAAGGGAGGAATATCAAAGAATTTTTGGACATATTTTAAAACCACCACCAGTTTGCCCCCGATCACAAATTATTTACATTTCACTCACATGCAAAATACATTCACTTTCTCCCAAGAAGGCCCCTAACAGTCTCATCCTGCTACAGCATCAGCTTAAGGCCAAAATTGCTTTATCCCTTCACATGTGTATTTTCCCCCGAGACCTTAAGCTTCTTCGGGGTTCAATAAGGGCATCAGTTAGCATAATTGTGCACAAAATTATTTTATGAAAAAGTTAATTAATGGTCCAGGCCCGGTGGCTCATACATGTAATCCCAGCACTTTGGGAGGCCGAGGTGGGCAGATCACCTGAGGTCAGGAGGTCAGGAGGTCAGGAGTTTGAGACCAAAAATACAAAAATACAAAATACAAAAATACAAAAAATTAGCCGGGCATGGTGGCTTGCTCCTATATTCCCAGCTACTCGGGAGGCTGAGGCAGGAGAATCGCTTGAACCGGGGGGCAGAGGTTACAATGAGCGAGATCGCATCATTGCACTCCAGCTTAGACAACAAGAGCGAAACTCCTTCTCAAGAAAAAAAGTTAATTAATGAATTATTTGATATTTAGGTTCTTCAAGTCCGTTTTTTGTGTCATCTATTCGTGGTACGATAATTGAAAACACATCTTCAGCTGGGACTTTGACACAGGTTCCTTTTTTCCCTAAATATGAAGCGGAACTTGATTCTCCTAGAAAAATCATCCAATATCCTGGAAAGGAACACTTTGAACGTGTTTTAGAAGAGTATTCACATCAAGTCAAAGATTTACAGAGAAGACTAAATGAAGTGAGTTGCCTTCTCTTCTGGTACCTGATGCTATTTGGGGTACAACAGTGAGGCCCAATATGTAGTTGTAAAGCCAGTTATACAACTTCCTGGAAGAAAAAACTAACAATGGGTTTATTGGTTAAATTTGTTAATTTGACCTGTGCCTTCTATTTTCAGTATTAAAATTGGGCTAATGAAAAGTCTACATATTAATTTTTCTTTTTTTAATAATTATTCAAAGCACCTTGGTTTCACGATGTAAATTTTAACAAAACTTGAATAACTCAAAATTATAAGTAGCATTTATCTGCAGTTATAATTAATGATTGGCGTAGACCTATTGTCCTGCTAACATGATACCTGATTTCTCTTTACAAAGCAATGGTAGAGGGTAGGTTTTTAGATATGTGTGTATGTATCATAGCTAAATAGCATCTAGAAGTTATTTGCTAAAAATTTCAAGTAGACATTATGTAGAATCAAGCTGGCTTTACAATTGCATATTGGGTCCCAGTAATTAACAATCTAAAAGCCAAACTCCTTACTGTCACATCCAAAGCTCTTCATGCTCTAACCTCGCCCTGGTACATTTTAGCCTCATATGCTACCCATTCTCCATAGGTACCTCTATTCTGGCAGTTTCAGGCCACTTGCTCGTCCCTGGATACTGCGCTATTCCAGACCTGCATGCCTTTGCCCAGGCCGTTTTCTCTTCTCTACTTTATCTGCCTGGCAAACTCTTATTGTGCACCAAGACTCAGCCCAGGCATTTTCTTCTCTGAACCCTTTCCTCTAGATGACATTAGGTGTGCTCTCCTCTGTACAGTTACTGCCGTTTGTACACATTTATTGTAGTATTTAGTACATCTAATTTTTCTCATTACCACATTACCTCATCAGATTGTGTGAACATTTTTAGGAAAAAAAAATCTACAATTTTATTTAGTGTTGAAAATTATGTACCCCAGTATGCACAGGGATAAAAAAATGAATAAGATAGGACTTACAAGGAATTCATAGTCTGGGAGGGGAGCTTGTCATATAAACAGTGGAATTACCCTATGATAAGTACACTAATGAAGATGTATATATAGACAAAGGAAGCACAGAGGTACCAATGAGAAGAAACAGTGTCTTAATTTGTTTTCTATGTCTATCCCCTAACAGTATATGACACTTTATTGGCCTTCAGTAAATATGTGTTAAATCAGTAAATTTCCTTCTTGTGTAGGTTTTTGTTTTTACTGGGGTTCCTAATTGCCTTTCTTTTTTCTTATACTATTTACCTTTATCATATCCTTATTAGAAAAAAACACATCATATAGGTTTTCTATATCCTCCTTTGACCCGGTACACTCCAAGCATCTTCTGACCTTTTGCCCAGTCTAGATTAGTTTCTCTTAGGTCTCTTGTATAACTCTTTTCCTAAGACTTCTGCCACTACTTTCCAGGTTGGATCCATGGTTTCCAGGAATCACTGTTTTCTCTCTTCTTTCTTTTTTTTTTTTTTTTTTTTGATTAAACAAAAAGGCATATGTATTTATGGGTATATGAGCTATTTTGGTCAGGCATGCAATGTGTAAAAAATCACATAATGGAAAATTGGGTGTCCATCCTCTCAAGCATTTATACTTCATGTTACAAACAATCAAATTATATTATTTTAGTTATTTGAAAATGTACAATTGAATTATTATTGACTATAGTCGCCCTGTTGTGCTATCAAATACTAGGTCTTATTCATTGTATTTTTTTTTTGTACCCATTAACCATCCCCACCTCCCCTTGGCACTCCCCCACTACCCTTCCCACCCTCTCTGATAACCATCCCTCTACTCTCTATCTCCATGAGTTCAATTGTTTTTATTTTTAGATCCCACAAATAAGCAAGAACATGTGATGTCTGTCTTTCTGTGCCTGGCTTATTTCACTTAACATAATGACCTCCGGTTCCATCCATGTTGCAAATGACAGTATCTCATTCTTTTTTATGGCAAATGGTACTCCACTGTTTATAAATACCACATTTTCTATATCCATTCATCTGTGGTGGTTGGACACTAAGGTTGCTTCCAAATCTTGGCTATTGTGAACAGTCTGCAACAAACATGGGAGTGCAGATACCTCTTTGGTATATTGATTTCCTTTTTGGGGGGTATATACCCAACAGTGGGATTGCTGGATCATATGGTAGCTCCTATTTTCAGTTTTTTGAGGGACCTCCAAGCTGTTCTTTATAGTGGTTGTACTAATTCACATTCCCACCAACAGTGAACAAGGGTTCCCTTTTCTCCATATCCTTGCCAGCATTTGTTATTGCCTAACTTTTGGATAAAAACTATTTTAACTGGGATAAGTTGATATCTCATTGTAGTTCAGATTTGCATTTCTCTAATGATCAGTGATATTGAGCACTTTCTCATATACCTGTTTGCCATTTGTATTTGTTCTTTGAGAAATGTCTATTCAAATCATTTCCCTATTTTTAGTCAAATTACTAGATTTTTTCCTATAGAGTTGTTTGAGCTCCTTGTATATTCTGGTTATTAATCCCTTGTCAAATGAGTAGTTTGCAGATATTTCCTCCCATTCTGTGGGTTTTCTCTTCACTTTCTTGATTGTTTCCTTTGCTGTGTAGAAGCTTTCTAACTTGATGTGATCCCATTTGTCCATTTTTGCATTGGTTGCCTGTGCATGTGGGGTATTACTCAAGAAATTTTTGCCTAGACCAGTGTCCTAGGAAGTTTCCCCCAATGTTTTCTCATAGAGTTTCATAGTTTGAGGTCTTATATATAAGTATTTAACCCATTTTGATTTGATTTTTAAATATAGTGAGAGATAGGGATCTAGTTTCATTCTTCTGCATATGGATATCCAGTTTTCCCAGTACCATTTATTGAAAAGACTGTCGTTTCCCTAATATATGTTTTTGGCACCTTTGTTGAAAATAAATTCACTGTATGTGAGTGGATTCATTTCTGGGTTCTCTATTCTATTCTGTTGTTCTATGTGTTTGTTTTTATGCCAGTACCATGCTGTTCTGGTTACTGTAGCTCTGTAGTGTAATTTGAAGTCAGATAATGAATTCCCCCAGTTTTATTCTTTTTGTTCAGGATAGCTTTGGCCATTCTGCATCTTTTGTGAGTCTATATGAATTTTAAGATTGTTTTTTCTATTTCTGTGAAGAATAACATTAGTATTTTGATAGAGATTGCATTGAATCTATAGATTGCTTTGGATTTTATGGTCATTTTAACAATATTGATTTTTCGAATCCATGAATATGGGATACCTTTCCGATTTTTGGTGTCCTCTTCCATGTCTTTCATCAGTATTTTATAGTTTTCATTGTTGAGGTCTTTCACTTCTTTGGTTAATTCCTAGTTATTTCATTTTATTTGTGGAACTTGTAATGGGATTACTTTTTTTATTTCTTTTTCAGATTGCTCACTGTTGGCATATAGAAATGCTATTGATTTTTATATGTTGACTGTGTCCTGCAACGTGACTGAATTTGCTTATTAGTTCTAATAGTTTTTTGGTGGAGTTTTTAGGTTTTTCCAAATATAAGATTATATCATCTGCAAACAAGGATAATTTGACTTCTTCCATTCCAGTTTGAATGTCATTTCTTTCTTTCTCTATGTGGTTGCTCAAGCTAGGACTTCCAGTACTATGTTGAATAACGATGGTGAAAGTGGGCATCTTTGTCGTGTTCCAGATCTTGCAGGAAAGGCTTTTAGTTTTTCTCCGTTAAGTATAATACTAGCTGTGGTTCTGTCATATATGGCTTTTATTATGTTGATCTTGTAGGTGTGCTTCATTGTTTTCTATTCTATACCCATTTTTTTGAGAGTTTTATCCTGAAGAGATGTTTAACTTTATCAAATGCTTTTTCGGCCTCAATTGAAATAATCATATGGTTTTTGTTTTTCATTATGTTGATATGATGTATCACATTGATTGATTTACATATGTTTAACCATCCTTGCATCCCAGGGATAAATCCCACTTGGTCATGATGTATGAACTTTTTAATGTATTGCTGAATTAAGTTTGCTAGTATTTTGTTAAGAATTTCTGCATCAATATTCATCAGAGATACTGACCTGTAGTTTTCTTTTTTTGATGTGTCTTTGTCTGGTTTTGGTATCAGGGTAATAACTGCCATCATAGAATGAGTTTGGAAGAAGTTCCTCTTCCTCGATTTTTTGGAACAGTTGAGTATAATTGGTGTTGGTTCTTTAAATGTTTGGTATTCAGCAGTGAAGCCATCAGGTTCTGGGCTTTTCTTTACTGGGACTTGTTCAGGTTTTAGATTTCTTCAGGGTTCAGTCCTGGTAAGTTGTATGTATCTAGGAATTTGTCTTTTTTTTCTAGATGTTTCCAGTTCATTGGCATGTAATCACTCATAGTAGCTACTAATGATCCTTTGAATTTATGCAGTATCAGTTGTAATGTATCCTTTTTTGTCTCTGAATATATTTATTTGGGTCTTCTCTCTTTTTTCTTAGTCTGGCTAAAGGTTTGTTAAATTTGTTTATCTTGTCAAAAAAACAACTTTTTGTTTCATTGATCTTTTGTATTATTTTCTTCATTTTACTTTTATTTCTGCTCTGATCTTTATTATTTCTTTTCTTGTACTAATTTTGGGTTCAGTTTGCTCTTTTCTGGTTCTTTAAAATACATCGTTTAAATTGCTTATTTGAAGTTTTTCTTCTTTTTTGAAGTAGGCGCTTAATGGATATATATTTCCCTCTTGGTACTGCTTTCACTGTATCCCATAGGTTTTGGGATGTTGTATTTTCATTATCATCTGTTTCAAAAAATTTTTTATTTCCTTCTTAATTTCTTCATTGACTCACTGGTTATTCAGGAGCATATTGTTTAGTTTCTGTGTATTTGTATGATTTCCAAAATTCCCCTTGTTATTGATTTGTAGTTTTATTCCCTTGTTGTCAGAGAAGATGGTTGATATTATTTCAGGTTTTCTTGAATGTTTTAAAACTTGTTTTGTG